ATATATATAAATTACGTGTCACGTTGTTTGTCCGCTATGGACTCCTAAACTACTTAACCGATATCAATCAAATTTGCACACCGTGTGTAGTTTGATCCAACTTAAAAGATAGGATAACTTACATATCAATTTATACCCGCAATATTTTTTATTGCAAAATATTTGTTTATTATTTGATAGTCACAATTCTAACAGATGGCGCTGTGTTGAAAGTACCAACGTTTCACATAAGCTACAATTTAATTGCATAACCACCAAAAAAGCATGGTGGTCCCCATGACTGGTGTTCTCCTACCGTTTCCCTTGAATAGTTTGCTACTATGTTATATAACAAAAACCTTAGCCACAGCAACGCTTGGCCGGTCTGCTAGTATTATTATAAAAAAAACGAACAATTTTGGAACACACCTATAATGTCGTGTATTTATCCTTATACTCAATTTTAACAATATGAAAAATACGATACGCATGAATGTGGAGTGATGCACCCGTCTGTTCGCGGCTCGCTGTGTGTACATCAAAATTGAGGCTTGTAGCGCGAAGTCGGGCATGAATCACTATTGACGAACTTCACTATTCTGTTTTTCTGCTTACAATATAATATAAAATAAAATAAACTATTAATATTTTTTGCTAAATTGTTGCAGGTTTAAGAAAATGGCAAAAGGCCGGAATGCGTCAGGCAGTAATTTGAGGCAGTTTCCATGTAGAGAATGCGGTAAGAGTTTGTAATTTCATAAAACCATGAATGCATGTAAGAAGTAAATAAGAAAGAAGTATACAATTTTGAATAAGAAATTAATAAAAAACGTGTGTGTGCTTATGTACACGCATTAGAAGTTACTTTGGCGTAATAATTTTCTTCGAGCGACGTCTCCCTCTTCGAATTGCATTTTTCATATACATTTTATTGGTCACTTCCAATCGAAACGATATAATATGTAGTAATCATGATTTTACAATAAACACTATGTTTTTTATCACATGGGAACGGGTATTATCGTATAGAAATCATTATTTTAGTTTAAATAAACACGACTCTGAAAGCTCCACGCAACTTATCGATAAAACAGAGCAAGCGCCAACCAGCGGCCCAGACTGTTTTACCGACGTTTGAGCAGATATTCAGGGTATCTATTTGTTGTGACGGTGTGCGTGCATCGTAAAATTTTTCTTTCATCATTTTTCCCTAACACGCCAAAAGAAGTATAACTTTAAGAATAACGTGAAACGTCTGTGATCTAAGCTGTAATATATAATTAGTTTTAAAATATCATATGTTGGTGTACTATAATTGAAGCAATTTTTAGGCAAAGTGTTCGGTTCACGAAGTTCCCAGCAGATCCACGTGCGCATTCATACGGGCGAACGGCCGTACGCGTGCCGATTTTGTTGGAAGGCCTTCGCTGATGGCGGTACATTAAGAAAACACGAACGTATACACACGGGTGAGTATTGCATTTATTGAAGGTCCAATCCAAAGACATACTGAAAAACAAGGGAACTGAATTTTTTATATTTAAGGATAGCAATGCTATTTACATTCCAGTTTATGACGTTGATACATTTCAAAAGACTAATCACATTGAATAGTTATCTGTCAACTTGATTTGTCTAACCAAGATTGCTGTAAAACACTCGAAACATTATCTAAATAATGTTAATATATATTTATACGAATCTTCTGTGGGTGTGTCCTCTAACTCCACCTAAACGGCCGGACCGATTGCGATAAAATTTTTTGTGTGTTCAAGCGATGATCTTTTATTTATTTAAGATGTGTGTACAGGACAACGTCTGTCCGCTAGTATAATTTGTATTTAAAAAATGCTGTGTTTATTAAAATGGTTTATATATTTATATCCGTTAAATTAAAATGGTTGTGGCCTTGGCCTTAGATTTCTGTCCATCTGTGTTCATTTGTTTCATCTTAATAAGCAAGTAGGGCAGCCTTCTGTGCCTGACAGACGCCTTTGTGTTTCCTAACGACCCTAGGGTTGGTTGGTAGCCCGGCTCAAGAGGTGCAAGCTATAGCTATTCGCTCAACGCTGATCCGTTAAAGAAGTTTTTTCAATATGACATTAGGTGAGGAGTGTTGGCCTTCGGTGTGCGATTCTCATACCTGAGGTCGTAGGTTGGATCCCCGGCTGTGCACCAATGGACTTTCTATGTGCGCATTTAACATTTGCTCGAACGGTGAAGGAAAACATCGTGAGGAAACCGACATGTCTTAGACATAAAAAGTCGACGGCGTGTGTCAGGCACTGGAGGCTGATCACCTTCTTGCCTATTAGATTTAAAAATGATCATGAAACAGATTCAGACATCTGAGGCCAAGACCTAAAGAGGTTGTAGCGCCACTGATTTATTTTATTCATCAGGTGAAAAACCGTACGCATGCGCAGTATGTCCTCGAGCTTTCAACCAGCGAGTGGTATTAAGGGAACATGTGAGATCGCATCACTCTGCACCTGATCGACGGGCGAATGGTATTTTTAATATAATATTTACATTTATTTGTGCTAAGAAAACATACAAATCTAAAATAATGGACTATATGTATATTCTATAGGTATGTTAGGGAGTTTTCAAGTATTACGTAACGAATTTTGAGGGTGGGGGGGTCCTTTTGTAAAACGTTACGACGCGGGGATTCAATTACGCGTTATTGTTAATATTATTTTCGTCTTTCCAGTACTTTACACCACATAATGGTAACTTTTAGGTATAAAGAGTCACTGGGTGGTCACGAAACGTTTTACTACACTGGGGTACAGTACTGTACAGAAAAACGTTACGGCGCGTTACATGGAGGGGATCAATTAGCTCCAAATACTGCGTGACGTAATACTTGAACGCTTATTCATATTTTAGAAATTATTTAGATTTATTTTAGAATCATAAAAATTATGTTATTCATACATTTTCCTAATTTCTGAATTAAATACCAGAACGCACTCGCGTGCTTTCTGGTATTGAGATTGTCCAGGGTCGACGGTATCACTTAACATCAGATGACCTAGGCCTAGGCCTACTACCCGTTTGCCCCCTAAAAACTGTTCAAAAAAAATCTTTCACAGTTATATAAATCATTAAAATAAATAAAGTTTGGATATCATATATTTTATTACAAAATTAAGATGAATTACGTTCGTCATTTGTTCTTTACCCTAATAAGTAACTTAAATAAAAAAAAATGGAATTTTCATATCCAATCAATATACAGTCCATTGACAATTTGTAAGTACTTAACGAAAGACCATGGGGGCCGTTCATAAAATACGTCACACTAAAATTCATAACATATAAATAATAAATAATATATCTATTATTCAGAAGTCCAAGGATTTTCTAATAATGATAAACGGCAAACGTCACGTTGCCGTATACCCCCCGTCCCTCCTTGTCACATCTTGTCACACTCAGCCAGACCCCTCCCCTGCCCTTGTATGCGAACGTTTTTATGAACGGCCTTATGATAATATTTACGTCCCGGTCGTAGGTATTCTTTCAATCCTACCGAACAAGCTCGTCAATGCGCGGCCATTTTTGACCGTTATCTAGAATGAATGAAATTGCAATGGTATTAAATTTATCGACCAATTTTATCTCCAATTTTTTTGTATTAGAAAGAAGGGTTTTTAGTTATTTAGATTTTCCTTGTACTGTTACGATAATATGCATATTACACCGATACCTTGCACTATAATAGGCGGATACCAGTACTCATGCGCAGTTTGTGGTCGACCAATGTTAACGAGTGCGGAGCTGGTGCAACATCTCATACAGCACTGTGATGAAAACACCGCTATGAAGAGGCAACCGCAGGTAAAGTCAAGTATAACAGTTGTCTTTTAATTTATGAAATTAGTTTAATTATGATCAATCAAAATTTATTTATTCATAGTGGTCACTATAGTAATAGGCAAGAACAGTTCGTTTTGCCTGCTAAATGTAAATTTTCCTGATTTCCTAAATATTAAGGTAACTTAGTACATAGACTCTATTAACCGCCATGTTTGTGATTTACAAGGAAATTGTAAAGAACTACAATCGTTGCATGTTTCACTTGACATAATGTCATAATAATTAGCAAACGCTTATCATCAGCGCGCAAAATAGAAGCATGTACTTACACTATACTATTTATTGTTAGAAGATAACACAAACAGGTGGTCGATAGCACGTGTAAAGTGGTCATATATAACTATCTACCCCCGCGAACTTCGTTTCGCCTTAATACGATTTTTTTACTTGGCGTACCTATTTAATAGCTACATACCAATATTTGGAACATTTAGCTTTGATACCCTATAGAGACTGTTCGCTTTTCCTGAATAACCCTTAATGCTAAATAATAAAAAAAAATTACTCGAATTGGTTTTCGAGTTTTGCGCCTAGCAACATACTATGCTATTAATTTTTATTTATCACCATATAAAAGTTCAAACACGAACAGTCACTAGAAGTACTACACGTTCACAAGCACGTGTTAAGATAAATAATATATGTATACAGACATATACACATAAATTGTTGAATGAATAAAATCAATGGATGGATAAAAACCGCATTAAAATATGTTACCTAATTTATAGGCCTAAATGGCAACTTTGTTTTACATTAATTAACTGTGATTCCAGTCCGGTCCGCGCAAATACAAGCGGCGTCGTAAAGTGAAGACTGAGGCGCCTGCCGAGTGGGACGGGTCACCCCCCGCGTCCCCCGTACCCCAATCCCCCTCCCCGACGCCCCCCCACTCCACCACCCGCGCCCCGCAGAAGGCGACGGGCAGCCGTGGCACCCGCACCACGCCCACGCATGATCCACACCTCCGAGGAGACCAGGGCTAGGACTAAACAGGTATGGTGTTAATTACGTAAGCTCGTTTCATATTTGACTTAATAACGTTGATGAGATTGTGTAGGGACGTAAAACAGAATATCGAGATTAAAAAATTAAGATAAAAAAACAGAATTCGAGGAAAAGCCTGAGCCAACATGGCGAGGTTTTTAGTAGTAAGTCACAAGAGTTTAATTAACTAGTTGTATAACGAATCAAATCTAATAAATTGCGATTCTATCCGTATAAAAAGATTCTATCCCAAAAACTTTTGTGCGGGTTAATTCACACTCACATCGCAAAGTTAAAATAGTAAGTCGAAAAGTTCAGCCTTAACAAAGAAGTTAAACAGCTGGAGTATAGACAAACTATAGATTTAAACAGGTAATCTATAAAAGCTAGTTATATTGATCTACGATAATCTATATAATATATATCATTTCAATTATGTCTGCTCCCCTAACCGAACGCCGACTTTATTTAAAAAAATATTACAACAGATAGGCTAATATTTAAATAGTTTCATAAAATGGGATCTATGGATTAGCTATATATATATTAACTTCAGGAGCTAAACTAAGTAATATATTTTTATACAGGTTCGAACTCGCCGACCGCCTCGTCACCCAGCCGACGACTTACGGGCTATCGCCGGTTCCCCTTCGCCCCAACCGAGGAATTCCCCTTCTCCTCCCCCTTCGCCCGGTTCACCAGAAGACGCAGACGTCGATGGACCATACAAGTGCGAAATGTGCTCGCTAGAATTCCCCCGACGCGACGCCCTCTTACTTCACGTCCCTATACATATATGACGAAGAAAAACCGCCCGGGGAACGCGCGGTAAACGCTCCAGGAAAAAGTAAATTAAGACATGTAGATGTAATAGTGTGAGATCCGGTGTAAGAAATAAATACATTTAACTGTTATTGAAAAATAATATATTGATAACTAGTACATATGATTGATAATATCATGGATTAAATCAATAAAAATATCAACCTTATAATTTAATATATAAAATGTATGATGGTACAGAAATAGCGCGTAACAATAAAGTTGCGCAAAAAAAAGTTTGATCTTCACAAATATGGGTATACATTTCATATATCGAATCTTCAACAATAACAAACCCCGCTATTTTGCGTCAATATTATAATTATACCAATTATGTAAGCGGCATATGTTGATTTACAACACCATTCAATGAAACAAAATATAAACTGAAACATGATGCGGGGCTCTATACAAAAGTATTTTGTTGCTGGTAACTTGATCACAATATAAACCTATTGTTACATTATAACTGTTACATATTCTGGCTGTTTTACAATTATCGTGAAAAATAATTGAGTTTGACATTTTACACACAATAACTGCCAAATCTAGACAGTGTTGCCAACTTTGGGTATTCCCCCCCAAATTTAGGGGGACATTTCTTTAGAGGATAATTAATTCTAGAAATGTTTTTGTAACAAACGATTCTATACAGTTTATATTAAGCCTCGAAACCAACCAACAAACTAAACAAAATATCCATATATATAAACTCCAAGATCGAAATAACAGCTATTTTATACTACTTGAATGTATTTTTAATTCATTCTTAACCTCAACCTCTCAAACCTCTCAAAGTACAACCTTAATAAATTTAAATTTGGTGTTGGTCCTATCACCATTATCTAGAAGTTGGCATCAATTTAACAGGAACTTTTCAAAATATGGCTAGCACTACAATAGAGTTTACTCGCCGCACAATAACAGCAGAAAGAATATATAATAACCAAAATATATTCAAAACGGCTTGCAAACATTATTTATTACATTAATTCTATAAAGAAAATATTACATATCTTAAAAAAGCAAATAAAGTGGGACATCTTAATTATTATCCCGTCGAGCGTTTGATGTTAGAAATAATTCATCTGAATAATGTTACATTTGTTTTTGTGTAAATAATAATTAGCTATAAACTTGTTTAATAGAAATTGTAAATATACCAAGAAATATTTGCGGAAGAACGAACTTTCACCTAAATTAATTGTTTCTGGGAAAGTTAACTTATGTTTTCGCAGTTAAAGTACCAAAGCTTTATTTTATATTGCATAATATATTTTAAATTCCGTTTTAGTGGTATTTAAGAGCCGGCCTCAATCACTGAATGATTCATAAAAATATTTCAAAACAAAATAATTTAATATTATTTCGTGTTAATATTGTCTTGACTATAAAAATACAATTGTTACTGACTTGGCATCACCCATATTATTAATTATAAAAAAAATGTGTAAATAAGTAATAATTCAAAAATTAATTGGACGTAAGACTTAAAATGGAGGAAACGTTACGATTGCTGTGATATAGCAATATTATTTTTAATTAATTGAGAAAAATTGCTATCTTGACATGGGTCCTAAAGTTTGATAATAGCGTCCGTTTTTAGACTCTTTTAGTATTTAACTGATTGACTGATTATTCGATTAGTTATCATTTTATGTGTTTTGTATATAGTTAAGTAATTATTGTATATTATTTTGTTAATATTTACTTGTCAGGTCAGGTCTGTAAGATCATGCAAATCTGCTGACTTATTTGATAACATTCTCGAGCTATTAATAGTTAATCATTTGTTGAAAGTCAGTTCTATTAACATTTATGTTTTTGTATAAACTTATTTTATTATGTCAAATAAAGCTGCAATAAGTTAAAAAAAAAGGGTGCGTGTACTTATGTACGCGCGTAAGAAGTTATACTTCTTTGGCATTATTAAAAATAGTTTTTGATTGCATGCAAATAATAAATTACAATTAAATAATCAAAGACTGGAAAAGGAGTCATTATAGTCAATTAAGTTCAGTTTACATTTGAAAAATTAAATAAATAATTATTTATTATTATTCTCTTACATTAAGTGTAACATAAATTCTATTTAGTTAAAAGTATATATAATTATATATTTAGAACATCTCTACCAAACACTAAGAAGTATGTTGTAGCTTTGGCAGTATTGCACAATATAAAATTAATAAATTTCTTTGAAAAATTAATCAAAACTCCTTTATTTGTTTAAAAGGTAAATGACAAATGTCATTATGGTCATTCAAAATTCTTGGCATACGAACTTCACGCATATTCTATTTCTTTTTACTTGTAGATTGTCTTATTCCTATCTCGCTCGCGCACGCTATAATCACACTCCCAATTTTGTGTCACAGGTGCGCGCGCATCGTAACATTTCACTCTCATAAATTTTTCATAACGCGCCTAAAGAAGTATAACTTCAAAAATACCTTTTGTTGTGTTTTTTTTTACGAATGTTGAGTGTCATCTGATCGCTCTTGTGTCATGTTATAAATATTTTAGTATTTGAAACTTGTATATTCTTAAATAAGACTGTGTCTAAAGTTCTCGGCACGTAACTTTGTGAGATTTGGTTAGATGAGCAGAAATAGTTTTTTAGCTCTTTAGCTAAGCAAGTTATAAAGCCAATATTAGTTTTGAGTAGTGATATTTTATATTGTAGCTGATTCGTTAATACATTTCGGTATTTCAAAACTTGATTCATTTTTAATGAATTCATGATAACAATTCTAATTAATTTGCTTTGACAGTTAAGATAACTTGTAGTTGATGTGTGCATTTCCCAAAACTCGGTAATTTTCCAGTTATCTTAATATTAGATTTTATTATTTTTTAAATCATAATTATTGTATATAAACTCCTAGTTTTTATTTTATTAATAATCGTGAAAAAATATTACTTCTTAATTGTTACTGAAAATAAAAGAAAAAGACAACTAAATGAATCCCAGGTTCATTATAAACACATTATTAATTTAATCAGTAATATTGTAATCTTCCCTATAACTGGTGTCAATAATAATGAGTCTTTGATATTGAAGTGTGTTGTTTCATTATAATATAACTTTTGCTGAATTTGTTTATTGTAATTGAGCCTTAGACAAAAACACAGCGAATTTGTATTGCAACGGTCACATGACGAAGCATAAGCTCACGTGGCAAACAGATTTCGCCCCAGAAGCTTCGGAACATATTTCTAAGATTTTGATGGAAATTATTTGTTTTTTACAGGACATCTTAAGTTATCTCTCAATTGCCTTTTTATTGAATTATCATTACAATCTGGCCTAATTTGAGACAAGTGAGTATTTTTTATTTAAACTAATTTACAGAAACCGCGGTGTTACACTGGCTGTACCCGCGTCTCACTTAGGTTAATTTGAGACTCCCCTTGCACACCATGCGTGAGTGTAGGTACTTATTTTATCAGGTCAATATTTTATAGCAGGGTTTTTTAAAACTATAATATTTCCTAATACATTGATTGAAATCAGACAATTTTGGTCAAAATGAAACCATTCTATATGTTTTATTAAAGTGTTGCATATAGTATTTATTTGGATAAGGATTGATAAATTTATAAAACCACTTTCGCAAATAATAGTTCTATACGTATGTAATTCGAGATTCTAAAACCCGTATTTACAGATTTAAATATAATTTTAAATTCATTAGGTGGACCCGGATACAGCACCTAATCAGTGTACTAAAAAGATGACTCATAGGATGACGATGATGACTGTCTGGTGGACCAGTGCCCGAGAACAGTATCATTCGAGAATCTCGAAATTCAACAACCATGACTGGTCAATCGATTTTCCCCATTGCTTCTCCACGACAACGCGCGAGCAGGCTCATGGCAGACCATCGCAAAGCTACAGGTAGCACTAGAAGTTCTCCGTCACCCACAGTACTCACCGGACTTCTTTTTCGAAAACTTAAAAAGGATCAATTCTCATACATATTTCTAAAACTGTTTATGCGGCATACATAAGGAAACTCTCAACAAAAATGTAATTTTTAACAGACTTAAAAACCGAAGGAGAGAATGTTTAGTAATCTAAATGTATTTTTCCGTAGACCGATCTGGATGATATACATCGACATCTGACTTCCAAAGCAGTTATAAATGTTATAATGGTAATTTTTAAAAAAAATTCAAACCAGAGATCCAGTAAGAAACAAGCTTTGAGACAAGGAGCAAGGAAGCAAGCCATAAACCTTGGTTTGTAGAATTTCATTCATAAGACATAAGAAAGGATTGGAACTTAAACATATTTAAAAAATTTAATAGCTTCTTTTTAAATAATTTTATTGACATAACTTTACACAGTAGGGTATGGAAACAAAAAGTGAGTTGCTCTTTGGGAAGTTTTCATTCTGTAAGTCTTACTATATAGGTATATCTTGTAGATAGATTTAGAAAAACTTATGCATATGCAAGAAGAAAAGGAAACTAGTTTGATTGAATAAATAACTTCACATTTTGAATATTATTTTTTAATATTGTGTGGATATATTATATCAAAACTTTTTAATAAGACAACCATGTTAGTACAAATATTATTTAATGTACTTAGATGTTGTATGTTGGATACTCTTTAACAGCAGGAAACAAAAACAAGTAATTTTAAAGTATTTTTATTATTACTTTAATTATATAATACTAACATAAAGATACAAAAATAGTTTAAATTATAGTTACGATTCTTAATGTAAACATATTATTTTATCGCTATTGATCTTAATAGGATTTACTATACATATAAGAATAGAAAATCAGAGGCTAGACAGTTTTTAAATAAATTTTGTAATTTAAAGAATTTCTGCTAATTAAACTAAGTTAAGATGTTAAGTTTTGTAAATTTAAAATTAAAACATGAAAGTAAGGTTCAAATATTTATATTAAACTTGAAAAATAGTCATAGTTATGTTATTACTATATATTATTTTATGCTTTCTTCCTAGTAACCCTAAATTTCAAGATGGCTATAGATGAATTAAAAATCACTTTTATTACTACTCAGAAATTGATTTTGATGTATATAAAATTCAGAATCTAAACAATACACATATTTTTGTTTAAAAATTTCAGTACCTAACTATACTTAGTTAGGAAATGAATTCTTTATCACTATCATCCAAATAATAGCTTTAATTTGTAGCACATGTTGTTGAGATATTTGTAATAATTTCCTGACTTAAACATAGAAAGTCAAAAAGTTGAAGTAGGGCAAAACTATTATTATTGAGTTAGCATGCCATTGTGGTCTATAGAAGTTTCTACTACAAATTAAAATTACTATATAACAGTTTTTTATTTAAGTTTACTCCGTAGCAGCCATGGCCCTTGCTTGAGCTCGAACTCTCTTATCATACTCTAGCCGATTTTGACTGAAAATAAAATTTATATAATAAAGGTCTATATCTAATTAAGTGCAGTTTGGGATGTTAAAATAATTTTTTTGAAGTACCTCTTTCTCTGCTCATCAGAGAACAACTTCAACATTTTTCTATGAATGATAAAATCAGGCATAGAAAAATGTTGGATCATTTTTACCAATTATTTATATAGATCTAGAACCAAATCTTCAACAACTTTTATAACAATAATATATGCTTACCAGTAAATTGTGTATGCTTCAGCTTGGGCTGGATCTTTAACATTAGGTTCATTGAGGAGATCTTGTATACCCAGTAAGATCTGTTTAATTGTGATTGCTGGACGCCAGTCTTTTTCTTCATCAAGCAAAGATAAGCAAACAGTTCCCGAAGGGTACACATTAGGGTGAAATAGTGGAGGTTCAAATTTACATTTAGGTGGACTTGAAGGATAATCATCCTTAAAAATCATACGCAACTTGTATAGTCCTCCTTCCCATGGTGTCTAAAAATATTTTGTTCAATTTGAGTAACACATTTTATAGAACTGATATCTAATTAAATTGTCACATATATTTTCAGCAATCTCTCATTTAAAATGCCATACTAACCCCTTTCTTTCCGGGAATCGCGCATTCCCAGGTCATTAAGTTTAGTGAACCATCAGGATTTTTCATAGGTCTAGCAACAAATCCCTGAAAAATAACCATAATACAACATATGAAATAAGTTTTCTGCAAAGTGATTATGTTTTCCTAGAAGTATATACCAGAAACATGACTTACAAAGGGATGGTCCTTGCGCCAAGCTTTTCTTTCCTCAGCTAGACGAGCACTTGCAATACCCGACATTGTCTGAAATTACACTTTTAAAATAATTAAATGTATACTAGATTGTACTATTGGAAAATCTTATCTGGTGACTTCGGCCTAACAAAATCTAAAACAAGGAATTGAGAGAAAATAAATTTCACAGCGCGAAAAGCGTCCCACGATGCGTCAAATGTACCATAGATACTGGCAACATATAGCCACAGATGCATGCAATTACAGCATCAGAGAGTCACAGCTTATAAAAACATTAAAAAATTATACGAAGTTATACACGATGCTACTGTGCGTTTTCCAATTACAGAGCATTATGCGACTCAGTGCCGCACAATGCCGCATAATGCTGAAGCTTAATTGGAACGTGAATTAGTTTTCAAATGCATCAGCAGAGTGCGCCAAGTCAGTGTTGTAAAAAAAATGTTATGAATTGAGATAGCAACCTCATTAATGTATAAATAATGTGGTAAACAATAATAATTGGTTCAAAACTTTTTACGCTTATTTTAATCATCAAATTATTTCATTAACATTTTTTTATTGAAATAATAGAAAACCTTTAAAGAATATAAGGTTTTAACAAGCTAAATTAACAGTAAAATATTTAGTTTCATGTAAGAAGTTTACATCATTTACGTTTTGAGTAATATTTTTTAATGATTTCTAAAAAAAAATATATACTTTTTCAAAACCATTGCAATTTTTTCTAAACTATAATCCTGTAAAATAAATTTGTTTACAGATCCGAATTTTAAAATAAAATTGTATTCATATTTTAAATGTGGAATATAAAAAAAGTAACTATTTATATCCATACTAATATTTTTTTTTTAGCAGTTTGAAATAACTTTAATTATTTTCAAAATCTACGATGAAACGAAAGCCTTACAAATTTTTCAACAATAAATAATATTTACTAACGAAAATTACTACGAAAATTATTACTAAAGAAAAATACTGGTCAATTTTCTGTCACTGTGTTGGTATTGTTTGCGAGAAGCACGCGAGAGCATTCGTTTTGAGAGTGCTCAATTGTGCGAAGCGTTGCTGTAGTTGGAACACTCAACGTTGAGCATTATGCCGCATAAATCGCTCTAGTGCTGTAATTGGAAAACGCACACTGTAGCACGAGGAGAGATAGAAGACACTGGCCTTATGAGATTGCTAAACGTGCCCAAATTGCTGCTGACTCATGATTTTGTCAGGAACTGTACATCTTAACACCATACGGACTTTGGCCGGTACAAAATGGTTGGAAGATAGATATTTGAGATACTGGAGGCCACTTCATTACCAACCAAGTGGTGCAACTAGAGCGGTGGAGGCAAAATTTTCAAAATATTTTAAGCTAACGGAGACTGATACTACTGAACCTGCCCAAACTTCCCCCACATCATATGTCCATAACATATACACTTCAATCCATTCATAAGGGTTGGAAGAATGTGGTCCAATCTTTGAAGTGGTTTCGAGTTTCGTCAAAACCACTCCTCTGGATTATATCAACATACTCCAAATAATTCTCGAAGAAGAGACTTATCTTTTAATTAATTGACTTTGAAATGGCTTTTGACAGAGTCCTGTGGTCTAGCATCTCTCTAGTCACGGATCTAGGTCACGGCTGGATGAAATCAGCATGCCGCTCACATTAAGTAACCTCCTTTTCAGTCTTCTCCCGGTAAATTTAGTCACGAGAGCCTTATTTCCAAAAATATTGTGGTGCAGGCGCGCCGCCTAAGCAGGGTTGTCTTGTCTCACCTCTATTGTTTCGAATCGTTTTAGATGTTGCAATCACAAGGTGCGCGATGTAAGTGAGTAGTCGATTAACTGACCAGCTTGATGACCTTGATTACGCAGGTGACTTATGTTTAGAGGTTAGACGTAACTACAATCCAAACTGAACGACCTGGGGACCGAAGCAGGATGGGTAACTCAAAATAAAGGTGCGGTTAACCTAGGAAAGAATCAAAATGCTTTGTTACTCAGCTTGGAATCCATTAAGCAAGTGCAAATATTTACTTATCTCTCGAAGTGTCGTGTTAGAGTTCAGTGGAACTGCTGAGGATATTTCCTCTCGGATAGGCAAAGCTAGCGTCACCTTCGCTCAATTGCGCCGGATTTGCAACCTACAAACTCACACGTCGGATAAAATTAAAATAATTGGCTCCATCGTGAAGTGCATTTTCTGAAACGTGCAACGCAACGCAACGAATCTAGGTCTTTGTTTACCGGTGCCTGAGACAGATCCTGGGAATTTTCTGGCCTAAGAATATTTCTAATGAACAACTACAGGAACGATGCTGGGAAACGCCAATCGGCTACCTGGTCTTACGTCGTAAGTGGAAATGGATAAAATACACTCTCCAAAGGGAGCCCAACGACATTAGTGCTTACTCCCCAAGACAAGAGGAAACAGGCCTGGCGACGCTAAATTGTGGCCGAAGCATGAGTTATTAGGTTGACTTTGCTAAAATATTCGCGCACATATTATTATATAAATTATGTTATTGTTTGCTTGAGTGAGTCGACCAAAACAATGTGTGCCGTACGCTTGCAGCACCGTGCCGCACAGTGCAGCACACTGGTGAAATCGTACCTTTAAACTTTTGAAATAACTTAATAGTCAACATTGAAGGTCAGAACTCAGAAGTCATAACGTTTCGCTAATCGCTAGTCTGTGTTTGTTTTGTTGTCAGTTGTGCGGGTTGTGCATGGTAATTGATAGCTGGCGTAGCTGGATTTTTAATTTTTATGTTTAAATTTTATTGCAGAGCTCATTTTCGCTACTAAAATTATTTAAGATTTAGCGAAATCTATAAACAATGGCTGATGATGAACAAGATCCCAAAGAATATAGATGGGAAACAGGTTATGAAAAAACTTGGTAAGTATTATTTTATTTACTATAGTTCATACATATAGGTATTTATAACTATATCTTATTCAGGGAAGCGATAAAAGAAGATGAAGACGGATTGGTGGAGGGGCTTGTGGCTGAATATGCTCAAAAAGCAGCGAGAAAAGCTGTTGCTCAACGCCGAGGACCAGTTCGGCTGGGTATGATGAGGCATCTACTTGTTGCCATTGACTGTTCTGAAGCTATGAGCTCACAGGACTTGAAACCGACTAGATTTCTTTGCACATTGAAGGTCTGCTAAATAAAAGCTTTTTTAGTGAATATATATTTATAGTATGAAGATAAATCTTTAAATATATTTTTTTAGTTGTTGGAAAAATTCATAGAAGAATTCTTTGACCAGAATCCTTTGAGCCAACTAGGCTTGGTTACTATGAAAAATAAAAGGGCAGAAAAAATCAGTGAGCTATCAGGGAATGTGAGGAAACATATTAAGGCGGTACAAGGGTGAGCATTTTCTTACTAATATTGGATGTATTTTGTCTACATAACCTAATGAGCAAATACGCAATATATTTGAATAATCATCTTTATAATGTATCATTAATATTTATACCTAACTAACTGTTTTGCATTCAGTGTCGTAATAAGGCATTTATTTTTGAATTACTACTTTTTTTTCAAGATTATTGCACATACTGAATATTTTTATAGCCACATAATTTATAATGTAAAAATGTTATTTATTAAAAAAATTAATAAATACCTATTATTATAATAAAATAATAATTGTAAACTTTAAGTAGGCCAGTTTAATTGAAATGATTTTTTCACATATTGACTTCTACTGTTGTCACAGATTGTCCAACATGTCATTAACCGGGGAGCCATCACTACAGAATACTTTGGAACTTGCTGGCCGGGTCCTTAAACCACTGCCTGCGCATGCTTCACGGGAATTATTAGTTTTATTTGCATCACTTACAACATGTGATCCTGGTGATATAAGTGTTACTGTACAGGTTAGTGTATACTAGAAAATCCCCCATCATTTAAGTTATTTCTTCATTAACTGGTTGATGATCATAGCGCTATTAGTTTAAATAAAACAACAAAGTTATGAGAAATACAATAAAAAAACAATTCAGTAAGTTTATGTATAGAATTCTTAAAATAATTCAGCATGTTTTTAGAACCTGAAGAATGAAGGAATAAGATGCTCTGTAATAGGATTGGCTGCTGAAGTTAGAATATGCAAGAAATTGTGCCAGGACACTGGTGGAGAATACGGTGTGAGTTATTAATTGACAGTTATAGGTGACACCTTTCTATCACAGCATAAAATATTGTGTAGCTTTATAAGCTGTAGAAAAGCTACATCTTCTCCATGTCTTCTTTCTTTCTTTATCCCAGGTGGTATTAGATGACGTCCATTACCGTTCTCTTCTACTAGAACAAACATCACCGCCACCGCGCGCCCGGGCGCTGGACGCCGGCTTGGTCAAAATGGGCTTCCCACACTCTGCTCCACCCTCCACTCAGTCTGATACAGAGCCACCAATCACTGTCTGCATGTGGTATGAACATCATGGTATTATATTTATTACTGTGGCTTCTATTTAAAATTAGTACCTCATATCTCATGCCCTCTACTTAGAATATGTTAACTTCAAAAAGTTTCAAATAAAGGACTAGTATTGTGATTTCCGTTCTTTTTAGTGCAGTTCGGGAATTGTGTTAAATCAAAAAAATTGTAGTGGTAGTAAATAAATATAAATAAGATGAATAATTACTAACAAATGATTTATTTTAGCCACATTGAAGAAGGTGAAGGTGTAGGAGGTGAAGGCCATCTATGTCCACAGTGTCGTAGCAAATACTGTTCACTACCTGCACAGTGTCGGACCTGTGGACTGACACTAGCATCAGCACCACATCTTGCAAGGTACATCTTCTGACAACAAATGTAATATCTATTGCAGTTAAATATAATAACTAAACATTGACTTTTCAGATCATATCATCATCTGTTTCCTGTTGATCCATTTGAGGAATTAAAAAATGAAGGACAAAGTCAATTCTGTTTTGCATGTGTAAGATCTTTCATGGATACTGATAAGCAGGTAAGATTTAAATTTCATTAATATAAAACATTCTGCTGCACCTGGCGCACTAATTGCTTGGAACGGTATATTATTAGATTTAAAGCTATATTATCAATTGCAGATATATCGGTGTAACCGTTGTTTGGAGCATTATTGTTGGGAATGTGAGAGCATGATATCGACTACACTACATGTCTGCCCCGGATGTGCTTCTCGCCCTCACCTCTATCAACGATTACCAGATACAGCTTGAATATTTTCTAAAATATCTAATCAACAAATGAAAAGGTAAATATGATTGAGATACTAATTACGTTTGAACATATAACGCTCTCGAAACAAACGCATGTTTAATTTGGTATTACATAAATAGGCGTTGCTAACTACTGCCATTCAAAATTTTTTGTAAATAATCAGGTGACCAAGGGTGAGATCAGAGATGTTCTCGTTCCTGTATCGTTTTATGTTATGAAATCTACGTATTACGTAAGGTATTCTCTTCTAGGGCCACGTCAGTGTTGCCAGATGGTCTCGGCGACGTACCCCTAGACTAATTTGATTTCCCCCCAGAAATCGCCTAGGATGCCCTCACCAAGCGGATGCTACACGTATAGAATATTTCTAGTAAAAAAGAATGATCAAACCTTCAAATCCAAAACAAAACTCTTCTGTAGTGTTATTACTGAATTTTCATGTAATTTTAGAATTTGTATTTAATTAATATCACATCGTTCTTTGACAGTACAAACCAATATACAATAAGTAAGGTTCGTACTTCAATTTAGTTCCAAAATCAGGAACGTGATATACAACAACAAAAAAAAAAACTGTATTTGGCCTGTTTTTTGAAATTTCTCCCAAAAAAACCCAATTCAATTCTTGTTTATGGCTTTTATTTTTCAATTGCCCAACTGTGAACTGGGCACAAGGTACTTCACCAGTGTGGTGTAGATGGAGAAGGCGCGAAGGAGATTGATCCGTGATCGGTGAAAATAATAATTAAGTTAATTTTGAATATGCACCTAAAAAAAAATTGTTGAAATTCGATTGGTAGATTTGAATACAATTTTTCACATCTGACAGTTTGACATATGACATCTTTATTGTCAGATATATTACGTCATCAGTCACTATTTATGAAAAGCATTTAATTCTTGTTATTGTAATTGTATAGTAGTCTTTTACGTCTGTTGTGATAGTTTTTATGACCGGCTTAATTTTATAAAACCACAATTAAAAGTTCCATCTACACTAAGATAATTTATGTATATTATCATCAGCAAAAACTGATAAGCTAATTTCTTAGCAGATGGCGAAGGTGACTGCTGAGTTTTTATTTGAGGACGAAGATAGAAATAGAAGGAAACTCTTTGAAAAAGCTTTATTTCACGCAAAAGATGGGAAAGTATTGTATATATTACAAGAAGAATTAAACAAGTTACCGGAATTATCACAAGACATAAGTTCAATTGAAAGACATTATATAAAAATGATAAGTTTTTTATATACATCAAATATTATGTCTCTTATTGAAAGCCTTGCCTCCTTAACAGAATGGAAAAATGTACCCAAAACAATTATACTAGATAGTTTAGACAAATTTTCAAATAAATCTAATTTAAAGATTGGATGTGGTATTGTTGCATTACTTTTAGATACTGCAAGAAGCTGCTCCTTAAGTACTAACTCCACTTGTAATTTATATGTTGCAGTAACAAAAGACATGTTTAGTGAAGAAAATTGTAATTTATTAAGAGAATTGTATATATTGTAATAAATAAAGAATTTCAGAAATTTTCTCTTGATAACCAATTTTTCAGAAGATTATATAACATATATTTGTGAAAGTACTTTAATTTGCAATTATGACAATTTATTTAAAACAAATAATTATACAGTGTCCTCTGATTTCACCTGCAGATGAAATATAGTTTTTTTTTTTAAACAGGCAAGAGGCTCTTATGATGAGGCTCCAACCTTCTTTGATAAATGGACTATAACAAAAACTTCAAAAGTAAATTTGTCATTTGATCAGTTAGTTGGGACCTTAGGCTTTACCCTTAGAATCTTAATTCTAGACAGACTTAATGCTAAGTATGAGTCATGTAAAACCATATTGGATTTTGAACCATACAGGAGTCATACTCGGTGTTAGTAGTACATAGTTTGTACTCTAAAATAGTCCATAGATATCACTTTTAATAAAGCTGTCTGTTGCAATCAGAGTGCCTACTGATAGGATAGACTTTGAGGATATACATTGCTGCAAGATAATCAAAACAAAAATAAGCTATATATTTTATAATAAGTATACATTTTATTATTTACATAACAATACCAATAATATACAGGAAAGAAAGTGAGAACCCTAAGCTATGACCGAATCATCACCTGAATTTTAAAACAATGTACAGTACAAAGAAAACAAAAATCGAAAATAGGAACAAATAAAAAATGTAGTAGTTGTGATTTCCCTTGCCAAGATTAAGGACTCTACTCATCGTTTTTCCTAGGAATCCTGAGCTTCTGTCAGCATCGTCATCCAGACCACGTAGAATTTTATCCTGATAGCGTACTTCATTTCCGATTTCTATTGACATATGTTTTAGTGTTGAGATTTTTCCACTGAGCTCTTCAGCCATTCGTTCATTTTCATGTTCCAAAACATTCTCAGTTGGAGCCCGTGGAATAGGCTGATACTGGTAACCGTCTCGAGCTCTCCTCATACTGCTGCTTCGACCCGCCGTCTTTAATTATCTTTTTCTCACTTATTTATCCAAATATCGTAAGTATTGTGATGCAATAAAGATTGATGGTTTACACGAACTATACTGGTCAAGGATGTTAGAAGTCACGTATACTATACCTGATTAAAATGTGGTAATAACTTTCTTCTAAATTATAATTGTGACGATTTAACGTAATAAATTTTATTGGGATCGAATCATAATTGTTTTCAAAATTATTTATGGTTTATCTGCCAAATCCACAAAAGATCGTCATCATAAAACTATCAAATGTATATGACAATTATTGTCAAGACGGAAGACCTCACTTCACTCATTTGAGTTAGGATAATGTGTAATAAAGCAGAGTTTACACTTGTGACTAATAAGATAATGGAGTAACGTTTTCCAAAATCCAAAATCTGCTATCTGTGACGTTCACCTAGGGCCTTAGTCAAGATGCCTTAACAGTTAACAGTAGTGTATGTAGAAAGTCAAAGACTAAAATTTGTATGGAAATGACAGTTCGTGTCGAAAAGTTTTCCTACAAATTTAGTTTTTGACTTTCTACATACACTACTGTTAACTGTTAAGGCATCTTGATTCTTGACTAAGGCCCCTAGTCTAACAATTCAAAGTTCAAACATAAAATATAAATAAACTTGATAAACTATTAAGTACTAACGTTTTATGTGTTATTTTAAATTCATTTTGCAATGTTACAGTTCAAGTTATAATTTTTTTCATTTATATTTAGTTTCTTCACTGTAAAATACTGTACTTACATATGATTCGATCCAGACTTAGTATGCTCACTCACTTTAAATGTAGAGCAGGATTTTATCCTCGATCCAATATTGAACGAGATGATGTTCCTGATAATAAAGTGTCATGGGACACTGAATTCAAAAAATACAATCCACCTACTTACACTTCACCGACTATTAAAGGAAAACCTTGGGCTGATCCTGATATAGGTTGTAGTTTTTACGAGTTTAATATAAGTCCTATTTCCTAATATGTGAAAATTTTACTAAATTTGTAGCAAAACCTGACTTTAAGCCTAAATGGAATAACTTAGATGGATATGTAAACCGTATGAGTCATACCGGGAATTATAAAATTCTAAATGGCTTTCCCTTAAATCCTGTTGGACGTACCGGAATAACTGGTAGAGGCGTGTTAGGAAGATGGGGGCCAAATCATGCTGCTGATCCAGTTGTAACAAGGTGGAAACCAGACCATAGTAATAGGTAATTACTCTCCCTTTACTTGGTACCTATTGCATGAAAATAGGAATCTCTATGGTCAGCCAGTTTTGTTATACAGGCAGATTCTTCAATTCATAGCCATTAAACGGAGTGACACTAGAGAATGGGCTCTTCCTGGTGGAATGGTTGATCCTGGAGAGAAAGTTGCAGCTACCGCTATTAGAGAATTTCAAGAAGAAGCATTAAATACTTTAGAAGCTTCTGAAGGTAATTTAACAAAGTTTAATAAAAATATTTGTCTGACATTTTCTTGCATTTAAAGAACAAAATAATTAGGTCTAATGACAAGGAGAGCAATGTCTTAGTTCTCACAAGTATTCATATCCATAGCTTACTACCAAAACCATAAAGAAACAAATTAAAATGGTCAAGTGCAAGGCTGTTAAATATTTTATCAAAACTAAGACACCTAAATATAGGAAACCTTAATTGATCAGTTCAGGTATACAAATGTAACTTACCATAAATTTAATAACGATTTAAGTAATATAAGTATAATATATGCATAAGTTTTACATATTATTTTAGCTGAAAAGGAAAGTTTGAAAGAGAAATTTAATAACTTCTTCAGTGGTGGCATTGAAATATATAGTGGATATGTTGATGATCCTCGCAATACTGACAATGCTTGGATGGAAACTGTTGCATACAATTTCCATGATAATGAAGGTTCCATTGTTGGAGAATTAAAATTAAATGCAGGAGATGATGCAGTAGGAGTTTGTTGGGTAGACATAACATCTGATTTAAAATTGTATGCAAGCCATAAAGATATTGTTGATTCTGTATTAGCTAGGCATATTACACCTAACTGAAAACAACAGACATTTGTATTTAAAAAAAAAAAGAAATAAAAAACTCTTAATCCTCATAGTTTATTAATGAATAATAATATTCCATAGCATCTTAAAACTATTTTAGCCTGTTACACAATATTATGCAGTATTTATATTTTTGTGTTATAGTATATCCATATTTATAATATATCATTTTAAGGCTTCAAGACAAATCTCTTTGCACAACAAGATACAAATATTCCTAACAACATTATTTTAAATGCTAAACCTCAACTTTTTCTTTAAAAAGTAGAAATAATTGGTCCCATGCATTTTTATACTACATGTTGTAATGCTTTGTAGTGATAAGAAAGATTTTTTGCACTTAGTAAATGCATTATTATGGTAAATATAAAACAAAACATGTATGACAGACAGCACATACTGGAAATTTATCAAGCATTACTAATATTGCAAAAAACTGACTAGCCTTATACCTTAAAAAAGCATGTTTTACCAATAGTATAATCTTTTATTGACATAACTTTAACGCATTTAAAGGAAACATATTTTTACTGGATTGAATTTATGTATTATAAATTTACCATTATTTTACATAATGGTAAATTAACGCACGCACGCGAAACGTCGGTTAAATTTAAAATTATGTAAATTTATAGTACACAACTTCAATCCGGTAAAAAATTGTTTCCTTTAAATGTTTTACCAAGTTTTAATCAGACCCCTATATAAAATTAATTTGCCTCCTTATAAACAAAATGGCAGCCTATGAGATATTTAAATACAAAATTTTAATTGCTTGTAAATGGTTAAACTTAAAAAATATTTTTAACAAATTTAACAATATTCACACCAACTACAACTTCATATCACAGCACCAAAACATTGTAATATAATTAATAGTGAAATAAAACGCAAAATACATATGTATTTTAATTAAATTGTGCTAAAGCTACACCTTAAAAACGTATAAACGAGAGATAATTTTCGATGACATTTAGGCGTCCATGGAGGGCAACGAAAGTGTTCTGTACGCACGATAGCAGTTTACGTCATTCATAAGACGAAGAATGTTCTGTGTGAATGTCGGCAGATCCTGTACACAATATTTAAAGTTCACAGTTATTTGAAGTCCCATAACTATTTTAAGTAGCTGTTCAGCCAACTACAAATAAATTTATAAAAAAATATTAATCTATCAAATTGTTACTCTTAAAAGGCATGTTGTTATTAAGGCAGCATTACTATGAATTTAGACTATTTTAAACTCTCAAGTTGCAAAAAAAGTTGCTGACGTGAGTAGAAAATATGTACTTGATCAACGTAATAACATGACCACATCTTGGGGCTTTAGACAAAATCTATTTTCGACAGGCGTGAACCACTAACGCCATAACAAGTTCGTTTAGGGTTAGTTGGCCACACCTGTCGAAAAGTAATTTTGACTTAAGCCCTTGGACTAGAGATGCTGTTAACCAATCACAATCGACTTGAACGCGCCGTCGTCCCTTCTACGTTTTACGTTCTCCAAGGCTTGGCTCCTGTACACATAGTGTTTGGTTTTTCGCTGATATTGACGAATAGCTTAAATATGAAAAATATGGTAAATTATTACCGTATCTGGTGGGAAGTCTGCTAGATGTTGTACGTGTTCTGTTGCCAGATCCGGCAGCGAGGCAAGAAAGTGAGGAAGAAAGCCCGTCCGAAATGTCGGGAAGTCAACTGTGGCCATTGCGTGTGCGCATGCTAATACTTCGTCTCGAAGTAACGCACGCGCTCCGCCTTCACAAACACCACTCAGTAGTACTGACAAAAACTCGCCCATGAATTCCGAACGGAATATCGCCTAGAAAAATTAAATTAATAAGTCATTTTTGCGAATACACTTTTATTATAACTGCCTTACAAAAGGTTATCAGTTTGACATGTATGTATGTTATTATGTACAATATTTCTAATATATTGAATAATATGCAAAACACGTGTGTTCGTAAGTTTGTATCTTTTTCCGGAAATTACTCTAAAAAAAATACATATTGAGATATAGATTCCTAAACTCTGATTTTTAATTCCGTAGAATTCTGACAGCTATCATGTTTGACATGTCAGACATTACAAACTTTTTTGGCCGAGCACATTTTTCAATTTCAATACGAGTCTGAACATTTAAGTCTATACATACATTTTATTTGTTAGTGAATGTATATATTTTATTAAGTGCGTTGCTAACATTAAAAGCGGTTTTACGGCGAGTGATAATTGCGTCCCTTTTCATCACAAACAGTAAAAAACGCACAAGTAAATATAACATTTTATTTTTTTTAAAAGGTTTACTAAACTTGGAATTAGTTGGCAGTGATGTCAGCTAAAGAATAAAATAAAGTAATTAAAGTTAATTCGATATATTGTTCGTGATATTTAAACATTTTTTATTTTATATATTAGATCACTTGATTAAGTATTTAGATTTACTTTTTTGTAGATAAAACATAAAAAATACGTACCAAATTTTCCCTTTTCGGTGACGAACTTTTTTAGTAGCAACACTTATGAAATGTTGCTACTAAAATAGTTACGGAATGAAAAATCAGACTATAAATATCAGGTATATTTACAACTAAGGTAACACTTAAGGTTTAAACATTTTATTACAAATTGGTCCAGTAGTTTTGAGATATCAGTATGTAGTAAAGGTACGCATTTTGAACTTACGTACCTTAACTAACATTACATACCTAGTAGTAACGCTGTGTAATTGAATTCTGACGATTATTGAATTAATCATTGCTTTCATAATTACAGGCTAGTTAATACACGCATTAAGTAGTACTTGGCGCACAAAAATATAAAGTGGAGTTTGAAGTTATTAATACTGTACGAGCCAAGCTGAACATTTTGCTCACTCAGGCTTTCTTAGTTTTATAAGCGTGGTATTACCTAGTATTATTACCTAAATCGTCGGAATTACGCCCCCGAGAGTAAAGCGAGACGCAGGCACTCTGTTCAGCATTATAAGCATAACATTTCCTAGCGTTAATAGCAATTTAGCATAAATCTATTCTATTGTTGTGGGAGCGTTCATCAAGTATTACGTCACGCAATATTTGGAGATTATTGACCCCTTGTAACGCGCTGTAACATTTTTCTGTACCCAAGTAAAGTAAAACGTTTCGTGACCACCTAGTGATTCTTTATACCTATAAGTTACCATTATGTGGTGTAAAGTACTGGAAAGTCGAAAATAATATTAACAATTACGCGGGATTCAATCCCCGCCCCGTGTCGTAACTTTTTACAAAAGGACCCCCCAAATTCGTTACGTAATACTTGAAAAATTATCTTCTATTTAAACCACCCCACTGACCCAGGTACCGTATAAATACCTTATGATACAGTTTCCACTTAGTATCTAATAGATCAAGGGTCCGTAGCGTATGTCGTAGCAGCTCTATATCTGACAAGAGCAATGCGCGTCCAAAGGCCGTGAGCGCGCCACGGAACTCCGTTAACCTTCTCTCACTTTCCTCTGCTTCGCATTTGGAAGGGAAGAAATACCGCCAACGATATATTAGCACACTGAAATTAACACAAAATACATCTATTTTAATTAAAACCACCCATACCTAGGTCATAAGTTCAATCCGCGGATGTACACCAATGGACTTTTATTGTGCGAATTTAACACTCGTTCGTACGGTGAAAGTAAATATCGTAAGGGAAACAAAGGCGTGTGTCAGCCATAGAAAGCTGATAGCCTTTTAGAAAAAACTAATAATCGGGAAACACATACAGAAATGTTAGGTCCAACTAATGGTTGTAACGTCACTGATTTAAAAAAATGTATAACCACCTTTTGTGACTTTGTGGTAACGCACTTGGCGTAAAATAAAAAAATATGTTTATTATGGAACATAAGATACAGGTATCACTTATTCTACGTCATTAAATTTGAATTTGTAGGCATCCCTACTCATCGGCAAAGAAGACAGAGGGTGTAGGCCGAGAGAAAAAGCCGGCGTAAAATACTCTCGGTACTCTTTTAAAATAGCAAATCGTAAAACCATTGTTTTGGGTAGGCGCAGTAGTACTGCCTATAAGATGTTCTGAAGTTGAATAAATTTCTTACTATATTAAAGTATGAATAATTGTTAAAATAATACACAATATCAAAACCAGTGAATTTTAAGCTATGAGTAATTTAAACCTTATAAGCAGGATATTTAAATTTCTGATTTGAATTATGAAAATAAATAATACCTAGCAAGAGCCCTGTGAGCGGCGCGTACCAGTTCCGGCGCGTGCAAAGTAGCACGAGGCAGCACGTGCGAGTGAAGAAGATCGAGCACGCCACGCACGCGCACGCCGTTGCCACCGGCCTCTACGCCAAGCCGCACGCATTCCACCAGCCGCTCCAAGCTACCTTCGTTGTCACCAGATTCTCTAAACCATATTAATAAAATATTATTACCTTTTATGACAACACAAAAGCATAAATATTAGAATCGCTCTTATAGATTTTTCTTTCTATATCAGCAACAAACCCTTACTCATATGAAGGAAAATACCATGAGGAACCGGGATGTCTTAGGTTAAGCGACCTTGCGCTAAGTATGTCAAAAGCATTTTGGGTATACAGGATACATAATGACCGCTAATTCTCAATTCAATCAAACTTTAATCTAGTTTCAAGAGCTGTCAAAAAAAATCCCAATTTGACAGCATTCAAGACGAGACTGTGACTTGAGCTACGAAGAATGCTGATAATTGAATATTGAATCACACTCCTAGTCCCAAATATGTATGTATTGTGTCACGCCCAAATATATCAAAAATAAAAAAAATATGGGAACTGACGCAGAAATAAAGCTCCACTTGAGTAATTAGATATCTATATATATAACAATGTTATGTTGGTTTGGGTACGCTTCAAAAACTCAAAAAGTTCTGCACCGATCAAGCTGAAATTTTAGCATGATATATAATCCGCATCAAGGATTGTATTTATCTACATACATTTA